CGAAACTGCTCCATCAGGCGCTGGATGAAAAGGGAGCCCATTGCTGAGCCTCTCCAGGAGACAGTATCTGGGGAGAGAGAAGATGTCAAGTGTGATTTCACTGATGTCCCTTAGTACAACAGTGATTAACGCTGGGTGCTGGAGCAGGAGACTGGGGCACCTTCTCTGAGATCATTAGATTTGGCCCCTCCAACCCACAGCGTGGGAAAAGGACAGGGCATCCCAGGGAAGATGGAAGAGATGGGATTATTTTCTTTGAGTCTCTCTGCTCTCCCGTGCTTTTAGCTGGCACAGCCTGGAGCCATCTGTGACCCAGCAGGAGAAGACAACTTCCCCCAGCCAGCCACTGCAGTGAGATAAATCAGCTGGGGAGGGCTGGAGCTAGAACAAGGGAAGGCAGCCAGGCAGGGGCATGAAGCTCTGGTCCTGGTGCCACTAAGAGGAATCTGTGGGTGTCCTGGAGCAGCCTTGTACCCTGGCATCAGGGGACACTGCCTTCTCCAGAGGCTGTGCTGGAGCAATGCCCAAGCAGTCACCGGAATGAAGGGACCTCCAGGCAAACTGCCCCAAGGAGGAGGAGGTGCAGAGGAGACCCATGGCATCAGGAATGAGAATCCAGCCCTCAGGCAGGGCAGCTCTCTCCAGGAACTGCTTACCAGGCGTGGAGGAATGTAGAGTGGCAAAATCACTCTCCAGGTGGACTTCAAAGATGGCATCATCTTCCAGCGCTGCAGGGACGGTGTGAGCCCAGCTGGGAGCAGGCACGGCAGGGTGGCCGGAGTCACTCTCCATCACAGACCCCACCTTGTCTAGGAAGGCAGGGCCAGCCATCAGCCACCATGGGGTGTCCTGTCCCCACCCTGTGCTTGGGGCTCAGTGTCCTGGGAGAGCCTGGCCAGCTCTCTGGCCTCGCAGGTACCTCGTAGCAGGACTCACCTCCACGGCAGGACTGGATAATGACCACTTTGGGTTTGCCCAGCAGCGCGTGGCAGCGCTTGTTGTTGAATTTCTCGTAGATGGTGTCGAGGGAAAGGATGTCTGTGGTCTCACCTCTGCTCTTGGTCCCACAGCCCTGACCCCATGGGACATGAGGACCAGGAAGGTGCTGTCAGAGGTGCAGTGCTCTTTGTGATTTGCAAAATCCTTCATGACCATAGTCATCTCCCACAGACCAGCGCAGGGAAGGAAGATCAGCCACCTGCTGTGGGCGGGAGCCACTGCCATTGGGGACAGAGGTGTCCCTGTGGTGCCTGAGCCCCTCAACACCAACACATGCAAGGAGGGTCTCTGCACCACTCCTGGGGCCGGTGGCAGCTGCTTTGTGCAGCCTTTTACCTGGGAAGTTAAGTCATGATGGACGTCCACCACGCAGCCCAGCCCTTCCAGCAGCTTTGTCATCCCCTCCACATCCACTTCAGCCCCATCCCGCCGGCTCAAGTGCTCAGACTCGATGTTGCAGATGAGCAGGGCCCTACGGGTTCGTGTCTCCCGTGGCAGATGGATGGGATAGATCTGTGAGGAGGGAAGGAGGTGGGTG